TCACGTGGGTCTAGGTGTCGGACGCCAGTCTACAACAAAGTAGCGAAGGGGGCTCTCAGGGTGCAGTCGCCATTAATGCTACCAGTCATGGAGTTGCAGACGGCCAGCGGAGGCGGGCGAATCTTCTAGCTTGGAGGAGCTCACGGATGACTAGAGCGGTGGATTCCACGCTGCATGCGGAGACCCTGTCGTTGAACAACGGGGTGGCGGAGATCGGCTGGATGATTACGTTGTGTCGTGAGTTTGCGTTCTCTGGCTTCAAGCTCGACGACTGGGGGTGGTGGTGCGAGGCGCGGAGGCTACTCTCCTTGGCGAGCCGCGACACCGAGGAGAAGCGCGCTGAGTTCTTACGGAAAGGGGCACTGCGTGGTGGACGCGAAGTCGTTGTGCGACTACCTGCAGAGGGGGACGACGGGCCGTCGGGATCGCAGGTGTGCCACTCAGATCCAGATCATCAGGCAGGCGATGAATGCACTGGGCTGCGAGATCCGCTGGGTGGACCACCGAGTTGTGGTCGTGGACGGGATGGCGAAGAGAACGGCGCGGATGAACCTGATGGTGCAGATCATGCGAGAGGGGGCGCTCTGCATCACCGACGAGAGCGAAACGATGGAGGCGCGCCAGATTCGAAGCGCTGCCGGGCACAGGCCTCGGCGCTAGTGACTTGAGCCAGCTTTTAGGAGGCTTCGGGGAATCGGGATTTTTTGGTGGCTGTAAATGTATAGCGATACATGTGCCCACAGCTCTTCCCTTCAGCCAACCTTTGCCCTGTTCCCTGCTCTATTATCCCTTCCACAGCCATCTTGTGCTCGGGCTGGCTTATCCCTGTTTCTCCCGCTCTCTCCAGAAGAAACTCCCACGACCGTCCGATTCCCATGCTATTCCCGGGTGCCTGTGCGGTGTTGGTGCAGTCTGAGGCGGCCAGACCAAGGGCGAGCTCGGACGGGACGTGCTCGCTGTTTAGAGAAACGTCGATCAACATCGGGAAACTTTCAAGAATTCAACGGTTTCTGCTGGAGATTCCTCCCACTTTACACAGGAATCGCCCTCTCGCTCGAGACCTGCTCGTAACGTACTCAAGAATCACGCTCTCGCATGGGACCTCCATACGTTAATCAGGACCCGCGCTCTCGCTGCTAAGGAATCGTGTTTTCGCTTGGGGCTCCCGCGCCTCTTAGTGAGAAGTCGCGCTTTCGCCGATCAGAACTTGCACTCTCACCCAGGACGTCCTCACACTTTACTTCGGAATCGCGCTCTCGCCCAATACAGCGAACCCCCCATGGGGAATCGTGCACGCAGATGTTGCAATCACTTGGTACTAGGGATACTGCTTCGGTGATGGTGGGTACAATCATTGCAATATTTCGGTGGGGCGTATTTGCGCCCGCTGGGGGATTAGGCGGTGTTTGAGGCCAGCCACGGGCCTTTGCGGGTCCATGGGGCATGACGTGCGTGAGGGGTGTGCCGAATTGAGGCTCCAATGAACTGTCTCGGGGGCCAGCTGCGCGCGCAACATTCCCGAAGTGCGTGAGGGGAGTGCCGCTTTCAAGTTCCCATCCATCAACATGGAAGGGCACTTTGCATGGAGGGACCTCGAGGCCCGAATCGCTCGTATGTTTACTTGGCCCCGACGCGTAACAGCGCAGACCACGAGTGCTTTTTACATGCCGCAAGAGAGCATGGGACAGGAAATGCGTCAGGGGCGTGTGGAATCGAAACGTTCGTTGCCCTGGGAGCTCAACTCACAAGTATTTGCACGTGCCCCAAGGTCGTATGGGGCAGGCAATCGTGAGGGGTGTGCCGAATCGAAGCTTTCGTGGCCGTGGGGGGCGCAGATCACTCCTACTCTTGCGTGTCCCAGGAGCTGTCACCCACGGGGGCCTAGCTAGCCCTGGGAGCGCACTTCCCTTATATATTTACGTGCCCCAGGAGAATCGACAAAAGTTTGCCTCATCGAGACATTTTCGGGCCAGCGGAATGCGCCAACCCCCCTCCTAGCATGTCGTACGCATGCCATTTCCTCATCCTCCAGTTCGCCATATTCTCATCATCTATCTTCGGATGTTACAACACGGCGTGGGCCCGCAGGGGGGGAGCGCCGAATTTGTTCGCTTCGCTCATTTCGCCGGCCCATGGAGCATCACTGTTTCTGTGTGGCTGTGTGATCGTGGTCGGCGGGAATTGTGTGTGTGTGTGTGTGTGAGACAGTGTCTTCCTAAGTAGTCATGTGCAGATTTCGTTGTGCGTGGGCTGTCGAACCATCTAGAGGGATTCTAGTGGGGCTCGTCGACCATCGAGCGGTTTGTCTCGGGATGTGTTGTTATGATGTTGTTATGGTTGGGGGCATTTTTATGTTCGAGTTTCTTTGGGTGAACCCGGAGCGTTTCGGCAATTGTTGTTAAGTGGGAGGTTCGCAGAGTGCGTAGGAGCGCCTTTGGGGATGTGGGACTAAGGGGGTCTTGGGGGTCTCTGGGGCTTCTTGGGGAGCTATCAGAAGATTCTCCTGAGGGCGTCTTGGAGGCTGTGTTGGAGGATTGTCTTATAGTATCGCTGGCACTTCCCTGCGTTCGCAGGAGGCCTCCTGGAGCCTCTTGGGATCTCTTGGGGGTGTCTCGGGGGCCTCTGGGGGCCTCTCGGGGGCCTCTTGGAACTGTATTTGGGCCCTTTTGGGGGCTTTCTGACGGTCTGGGGGGCGATATACGTGTATACATATATATATATATATATATATATATATATATACATACACATATATATATATATATATATATACACACGCACATATGTATATATATATATATATATATATATAGATAGATAGATAGATAGATAGATAGATACACACACATATATGTATACACATGTATTTATATGTATATATATAGATATATACACACCGGGAACGGATTCGAATTTTCAGATCGGGGTTCCCCCCTTCGGACCCCCTTTGTGGGGTGGGAGGCCTCTTGAGAGCCGCCTCGTGGATGTCCTGGTTGCCTCTTCCGCATTGTGGCAGCCTTGGGGGCGAAGTTGGCCGTCCGCGGGGCGTTCGGGAGACTGAAGGGGCGGCAACGCTAAACGCCTTCGAACGCATGCGCGACACCCACCGGTTTGGGCCTCCCGGGGGCTTCTCGTGGAGTTGTGTCTGGCTGTCTTGCGACACCCTCGGAGCCTTCTTGGGAGCGTATGGTGGCCATCGCGAAGCCTGCCACCCGCGGACCCCGGCTCAGGGTGGCATCAGGGAGCTCCCCTGGGGCCCCCCCCTTGGGCGCTCCCGCAGACCGCCCCGGGGGAGGAGCTGGCAGCTGTGGCCCGCGACCGCCCGAGCTTCGCCCGGGGGGCACCGCCCTGCGGACCGCCCGGGGGGTACCTTCGTGCTGGGACCCCCCGGGGGGGCCGCCACGCGCGCGCGAACCAGGACAACAGCGTGAAGCGCGCGCGCGTGAAGCGCGCGCGCGCTTCACGCTGTCGCCGCGCGACAGCTGCTGCTGAAGACTTTGGCACGCCTCTGGCCTGTCGGGCTGGCGGATCAAGGGGTCGCGCTTCAGTCTCCTGCCCGACCCGCCCGCTAGGGTCCGCCCGCCCGACTTGCCGGTTAGGGACCGCTCGCCGCCCGTGAGGGCCCTCGACACACGCCGCAGGGTCCGCCCGCCCGCCCGCGACCCGCCCGGTGTGATGATGCCCGGGCCGTCCGACCTGCCCGGTATGGTGCCCGCTGCTTGGCAGCCCAGCAGCTCTTGTGGGGCGTTCCGGAAAGGGCCTTGCCTTCGAGGATCGAAGGAGTTGCCATCTCTTCCGCGGCCGAAGGGCGGCGGCGGAAGGCGGCGGAAGTTGAAGTCGACCTCCCAAGCGATGAAACATTTTTGGGTTCAGGGGGTCTGGAACCCGACGGCTGTCCCGCCCCTCAGACCCGCCCGTTGGGGTCTGCCCAACCCGCCCGAGCGAAGCGCTGGCGATTGCTCTGGTCGTCGCTTGCTGGATTCAGCTTCAATGCCCGAGTTCCAGTGCCCAGTGATGGAGTTTGACGACTCTGATGACCTCGTCGAGGTCTAGCCGTTAGCGGGCGTACCTGCCACTCCCAGGACGCCGATCGACAAAACGGCAAGGATCGGCAAGGGCCACGGGGAAACTAAGAGGTACCAATACCGCTACCCCTCAGGACCTCTCCCGAGGCGCGTTCTGGCCAGGATTTCGCGGCGAATCCGGCGGTGGCGACGGGGGCCGCCCAGAAGGCCCCATAAAGGGGACAATGAGGGGGGCGCGGAGAGGTCTGGGTACCGTTTTCTCCGCTGAGGCCAGTCTGCGAGGGAGCTTGGCGGCCCCCCTCCGCTGGGGCAGCCTCTCTGGCGGAGTCCCCTGCGGCCTCTGCCCGTCCGCCCGCTCCCCCCTCCTCCTCCTGACTCCTCCCCCTCCTCCTCCTCCGCCTCCTCCTCCCTCCTCCTCCTCCCTCCTCCTCCTCCTCCTCCTCGGCCTCCTCCTCCTCCTCCTCCTCCTCCTCCTCCTCCTCCTCCCTCTTCTACCTTCTGCTCCCTCCTCCTCTTCCTCTTCCTCCTCTCTCCTTCTCCTCCTCCTCTTTTTTATTTTTTTTTTTTTTTTTTTTTCCTAGTCTTACTTTTTTTTCGCCTCCTCTCATCTTCTAACTCCTGCTCCTTTTCCCCCCTCCTCCTCCTCCCCTGCTCCCTCCTCCTCTCCCCTCCTCGCTCCCTCCTCTTCCTCCTCCATGGCTCCTGATGTGCCTGATTGGATTCATCATTCTCCTCCTCGTCCTCCTCCTCCTCCTCCTCCTTCTCTCCCCCCGTCTCCTTCACTTCGAAGAAGTGATACAGAGTGCGAAGCTGCTGCACCTCTTTCCTCGTCCCGTGTGCTCGGTCTCTTTGTCTGCCTCAGGTGTTCGCTCACCCTTCCCCCTCCCTGTTGCGTGCTGCCTCGCCGAGGATATTCGCTCGACCCAGAGTTGGTGTCTTTGTGACCGGCCTCTTTTCCAGTCCCTCCCCTGCAAGGCCCTGCGCCGCATCGTCACCCTGTCCGGCGGGCAGAAGAGCCGCGTTGCTCTGGCGCTCGCCCGCCCCCGCCTCACGTTCGCGCACTGGGCAGGCAGGGCCTCCTCCCTGAGATCGAGAAGGAGGAGGAGGAGGAGGAGGAGGAGGAGGAGGAGGAGGAGGAGGAGGAGGGAGAATCGGATCGAGGAGGAGGATCGAGGAGGCACGAGGAGGAGGAGGAGGAGGAGGAGGAGGAGGAGGAGGAGGAGGAGGAGGAGGAGGGAGAATCGGATCGAGGGGGAGGATCGAGCAGGCTCGAGGGTCGAGGGGGAGTAGGGGGAGGAGAGGGAGGAGGAGGGTAAGGAGGAGGATAAGGAGGAGGATCGAGGAGGAGTCAGGAGGTATGAGGAGGATAGCGGTGAAGGAGGACGAACGCAGCCCTCAGAGAGGAGGCTCCCGAAGCAAATATACCACCCCCCAACCCACAGGGTAATCTTGGTTCGCGGGTCTCCGAGGGGGATACCACCTCCACCTTTGGCCCAGTGCCAGAAGCATCTTAATCAAAGTGAGGGGCCGAACGGTCATTCATTTTCCTTGGGCACGTGGATGAAGCGGGAGTCCGTGGTGCGGGTTGTAGTCCGTGGTGCGGATTGTTGTTGCGTAGTTGTGGTTGTTGTTGCGTAGTTCTTGTCGTCCTCGCCCGCGACCCGCCCGTGACCCACCCCGCGATCCACCCCGCGACCAAACCGCGACCCGCCCGCGTTCCACCCGCGACCAACCCACATTGATTTGACGAAATGTTGGCGCCTGCGGCGGGCTCGTTGCGCAATGTGTCAAACAATCGAAGCCTGCGGCGGGCTCCTTGAGAGCCTCGGAGACGGCCGACATCCCAACTGCGGGGGGCCACACTCACCCTGTCCGCAACTGCGGGGGGCCACGGTATCCTCCGATGGGAGGAAGACGATGATTGATTGTTCCCCGGGGTCGGAGCGAGGGGGAGGCCGTGCGTGAAGCGCGTCTCTCGCGCACGTGGGACGCAGGGAGAGAAATGTTAGCACGCAGGTCGCAGCAGCGTCTGGTGATCTGTTCGAAGTAGGCGTGTTGCCCCCGCCCTTCAGGTAAGTTCTGCTGGAGCGCTGGCATTTCGTGCTGGGCAGCACCGCTGCGAGCTCCTCTTGGGGTCTGGAGCCTTCGGGAACACGTGCATTTCAGGCCATCCTCAGTGACTGCTAACTTCCTGGCGGATTACTGGGCGCCCCCCTCGTCGCCACCGCGGGACTCGGCCTGACGACGCGGTCGGAATCGTGGCCTTCCGACCTGGTGGCAGCGTGGTATCTTGGAGGAGGGGGAGAGCTGGCGGAGTCAGGGCCTCTCTGGTGGATGCCCCCTGGATATCAGGGGAGGACGAGCAACAAAACTAGATCATGACTGATGTTTCTCTGTTCCTCTCTCTTCTCTCTGTATCCCTCTCTCTTTCCTCCGCCGTCGAGCCTGCCCCCAATGTTGCACACCTCCAGGCAGTCGTCACCTACAAGCAGCCGCACCTGCTATACTTGGAGGGGGCGGTGCTGGAGGGAGTGCCGTTGCCTGAGCCCGCGAGCTCGTGTCTGCCGTGCCGGGCTGCAGGCGCGATCCAGTTTGGCACGGCGTCTCGCAATGCGCTGTCGACAGGTGAGCGACGCAAGCAAAGCACGGGAGTCGTTTGCGCCGACATTCGCGCGTGAGTTTGCGCTCATCATCTTGGTATCGCTCGGACGGGTGCACTTTTTCTCGGCGGGGATCATCGAGGAGCGTCCTGGACCATCCTGCGCAGAAAGCCACGCACGAAACCGACCGAACAGAAGCGCAGGGAATGGACGTCCGAGCGATGGCCAGTCATCGGAGGCGCACTCGGCAGGTCGAGGCCCCGAGGTCGCCCGAGGCGCGTTGTTAATTTTTTTCCTTTTTTGGAGTTTTTTTATCTTCTTTTTAAATTGTCTCTAATTTATTTTCGTTTTGTTTTGTTCGATTTATTTTTATCTTTTTTTTTTTTTTTATTTATTTTTATTAAATTTTCCAGGGAGTTGGGGGGGGGGGCGGCGAGAAGCGCCCCCCCTCCACTTCCCCCCTCCCCTTCCTCCTCCTCCTCCTCCTCCTTTCTGCTTTCTACTCCTCCTCCCCCCTCCCCCCTCACCACTCCTCTCCTCCTCCTCCTCCTCCTCTACTCCTCCTCTCTCCTTCCTCCTTCTCCTCCTCCTCTCCCCCTCCTCCTCCTCCTCCGCCCTCCTCCTCCTCCTCCTCTGCTCCCCCTCCTCCCCCCCTCCTCTCCTCCTCCCCCCAACTCCTCCCCCAACTCCTCCTCCTCATTTTTGTCCCTTTCCTACTCTCCTACTCCTCCTCCTCCATCATCCTCCTCCTCCCCTCCTCCTCCTCATACTCTCCTCCTCCTCCTACCGCCTCCTCCCCCTCCTACTCATCCCCCCTCTCCTCCTCTCCTCCTCCTCCTCCTCCTCCTCCTCCTCCTCCTCCTCTTCCCTCTCCCTTCTGCTCCCTTTCCTTCTGCTCCCTGCCCAGGGCCGACGTTGCGAAGCAGCGTGGGACCCCTCCCCCCTGCCCCCCCCTGGGACCCACCTGTGGGACCCCCGCCAGATCGCCCCCGCGGGGGGGGAGAGGATATCACAAAGGCCATGGGGCGTCCCGTCGACTCTCGGCGGCGAGTTAAAGGGGGAAGTGAGACGGGGGGGCCTTCTCAGAGGGCTCGGAAGTCCCCAGGCCTTCCGAGAAGTGTTCTTAGCTTTTCCCGAAGACACAGAACATTTCTCAGAAGCAGCGAGTAGCTTCTGAGAAGTCCCGCCGCCTTCTCCCGGCGCGAGGGGGGGAAAGTGAGGCCTGCTCCTCCTCACTTCCCCTCCTCGCTCGTCGCCGAGACTCGATGACGACCTGGCTCGATTGACCTCGGGCCAGCGAGCTCGGAGAGCCCCGGGTGGCCGCAGGGAAAGCGGGGGAGAGCTTCGAATGGAAAAGCGTCTGCCTGGGCCACCCCTGAACGATCACCCCAGGAACCCCCCTCACACCCTGTCGCTGGATTTGGGAGGATGGGCCTTCTCCTCCTCCTCCTCCTCCTCCTCTTCCTCCTCCTCCTCCTCCTCCTCCTCCTCCTCCTCTTCCTCTTCCTCAGTCAACAACCGAGCAGTGAGAGGAAGAGTGGGAGGACGAGCCTACCAACCACCTCGACATGGAGACGATCGACGCGCTCGTCGAGGCTCCTCTGGCCCCCCTCGGCCCCGGCACCCGCTGACGCGCGGACGAAGGGCGAGATGCCCCAGGCCTCGGAGGCACCGAACTTGAGCTCGTCAGGACCTGATGTTAGCGACTCGAGCTCCTGGGGGACACCGGTGGGCCTGGCGTCGGCTCTGAACGCGGGCGAGGAGGTGAAAGGAGGGCGACTGAGGACGCGCAGACATGCACTCAGGCGCGTGGATTCTCGAAGGGTCGGTCCCGTTGCCATACGGAATCGACGCGCTCCGTCGCCAGATCAGGCGGCGTTGGCATCTTGTCTCGAGGGCCGCCTTCCCGCTGCGTGGGTCTGGCGCCCACGCGCCAGACCCGCGGATCCGCAGACCACGTCGGCGTGCGCCCGAGACGATGAGGCGGGAGAATGCCAGCTCCCCCCCCTCGCCTGCTGCCCCCTCTCACCGTCCTCCTCTTGCCGTCGCGCGCCCGCCATCCCGTCATCCTCATCCTCGCTCGTCGTGCTCGCGCGGCAGCGCCAGCGTCCCACCCTCGCCCCCCCCTCGCGTGTTCCCGCCGCCCCCATGTGCACAAGATGTGGATGGGAGAAGGGAGATCCGAAATACAGTATCTCGCGATCCCGTATCCAGTTTGGGCCAAGCCTACCCGCTTCAATGCCGCATGTCGCCTGTGCATAATGATGTATTTACCATGCAGTCCAACCTCCGTTGCGCCGGAATGTACGCACAATGTCGCATGCCTCGAATGTAATCAAGGTTTCAAACGTACTGACTTTATTGTGCATGGATGTTGTTTTGTCTTGATGCGCTTAAGGACACCTCTCCCTGTAACCAAGTGTACGGAAACACTCACGCGATGTCTTTGGGGAGTGGCGGGTGTCCTGCTCTTTTTCGTGGATTTCTGGTCTCCAAAATGGCAAGGGCAGGTTGGCCTCCCGATTTCCTAATGCGTCTGCAAGTGTTGTGGACGTTGATGTCCTCTTGGCGTGCATGGGGCTTCCCGGGGTCCTCCGCGGCCCTGGAACATACCCCACAAGTCGTAGTTCCAGTGAGAATTCTGACTGTGCTTGATGTGTTTGTCTGCCTGAAAGTTCTCTTTTGCCCGGGGTTGTTGATTTCTTCACGCGTCTGCGAGCGAGTAAAGTAGTCTGGCAAAAGAAGACGTCGCATGATGCTTCACACTTTACCGACAACCATTAGAAACTCCTGAACCTTCAGATCTAGAAATCTCCGGGCGTCAATGCTGCCCCGATTGTCGCCTGAATTCTCATGCTTCGATATGTCCCATAGATTCGCCTCCCCTCCAGCGCCCACCCACGCCGAGATTCATCGTCGCCGCGTGCGTGTTTCCTTCCTCTTCTGACTCACCTCCTCATTTCTTCCTCCTCCTCCTCCTCCTCCTCGTCATGCTCATACTCCTCATCTTCGCTTCCATCTCATACTCCTCCTCCGCCTCCGCTTCCATCTCATCCGTTTGTGGCAATGAACTCCCTGGTGCGGCGGCCGTGCAAGACGATTCCTGCCTGCCGCGGTATTACGCAAGGATTCCTGTGTGGTCTTACAGGAGGACTCCTGATGCAAGGCTTCAGGGAGATGCTTCCCTGAGGATACCTTAACAGCACACGTTCAAAGCATGTAAGGTTAAAGGTTTCGTTCAGAACAGCAAACCATATGTAAAAACATTCAGATCACATGTAAGTTTGGCGGTTGTTGTTGTCGAGGGTTTGTTGCGAACGCGTTCAAAACAGTGTTGAAGGTGGTGTTAAGGAAACCTTGTGACAACAAACATCGACAGAGCATACGGTCGGTGTACGGTGTTCTGGACACTGGCGCGCTGCAAGGCGGTTTGGGCAGCAGGAGGTGGACGGGCGCCCGTCTTCATACAAATATGCGCTATGTGTCCACGTTGTGTCCTGAAAGAACCATCAGCACCATCCGTTTCATGGGTTTCCTCAGGGTTCATTTCAGAAAACCTTCGAGCGCGTATGTCGCATGTTTTTGTTCACAGGTGTGGTTTAACAAAACCTTCAATTCTTTACGCTTCGCGTGTCCCCACCAGCCCATCTCACAGCAGGAGCTCTCGCGAAGCATGTCGACAGTTGTGTTTTTCAGGCGTGTGTCCGCTGAACTCCGTGTATTTCCCTTGTCCCTCCTTCCCCTCCGATGCTTCCTCTACCGCGCTCGTGCGCAGTAGGCGCGTCGTGCGTTACGCAACGTGCTGGCTGAACTGCACCCGCCCTTGCCCATCAAAGAAAGAAACAACAACAAAGCAGGAAGAAGGCCTCCCCTAAACTTGCAGGTTTACAGTGCCACGGGAGGGCCTCCAGAGATAATGCGAGAGTTCGCGTCTGTGTGCGTTGCAGATATGTGAGTCGTTCCGGCTCTTCGTGGTGTGAGTCGTTGGGGCCCCTCGTCCTTCCTTGTGTGACTCCTTCGGGCCCCTCATTGTGTGTGAGTCGTTCGGGCTCCTCGTGGTATGAGTCCCCTCCTTGTGTGTGAGTCGGTCGGGCCCCTCCTCCTGGTGTAACTCGTTCGGGCTTCCCGTGGTGTGAGTCGTTCGGGGCCCGCGTCGTGGTGTGAGTCGTTCGGGCTCCTCGTGGTGTGAATCGTTCGGGCGCCTCGTCTTGGTGTGAGTCGTTCGGGCCCTTCCTTGTGGTGTGAGTCGTTCGGGCTCTTCGTGGTGTGAGTCGTTAGGGCCCCTCGTCCTGGTGTGAGTCGTTCGGGCTCCTCGTGGGGCCTCTTGGGGCCTCTTGGGGGCCTCTTGGGGGCCTCTTGGGGGCCTCGTGGGGGCCTCTTGGAGCCTCTTGGGGCCTCTTGGGGGCCTCTTGGGGGCCTCTTGGGGACCTCTTGGGGCTTCTTGGGGGCCTCTGGGGGGCCTCTTGGAGGCCTCTTGGGAGCCTCCTGGGGGCCTCTTGGGGCCATCTTGGGGCCTCTTGCGACCTCCTTAGAAGCGGAAATGAGCGCTGCCCCCCTGAGAAGGACAAAATGAGGCCAAAGCCTTCGTAAAATCAATGATTCTGCTATGAAGGAAGATGAGCGCGGCCCCGTCAGAAGGCCAAAATGGGGCCAAAACCGTAGTAAAATCAATGTTTTTGGGTTCAAAGACGAGTTGAGGGGCCAAACTACCTCCCCCCGTCGGGGCCAGAATCCTCGTGAGGGTCGTCGTTTTTTGGCCCTCCCAGGAGGCGAAAAAGACCCCCTTGCCACCACTCGGCCCTCCCTCTCCAGGTCCAGGGGGAGGGGGTAGGGGGAGGGGTAAACCCCTCCCCGAAGGGGAATATAAGGGGGTTAGGGGGTTGAGAACAGAGAGAGCTCGCTAAACCACTCACGCCCAAAGGGCTGGTGGGATTACATATACTTGATCTGACCACAGGGTTTCCTGAAAGAAACTGAAGGCATGTAAATATTATATTTGCTGTTGCAGGTTATCTGGCCTGGGATCCTGCATTGGAGGAGGAGCAGCGGACGGATGAGGAGCAAAAAAAAACGGAAAA